CTCACATACAGGTATTATCACAATCTGAAAAAATCGTCTTCACATCTACCATGTGAATCAGGTTTTTAATTGTCTCTTTCACAACTTTAACATAGTTAGTCTAACGGTTCCCCAATTTACGGATCCCATCTCTGTAATGGATCGCCGGAATAACTGCAAATTCCCGTTACTAATAAGACAACTATTACTTCTTCATTTAAAAAAAATCAATTCCTGTCCTAAAAAATTTTTCAAGTTTGTGAGAAGAGCTAGGCCGGGAACGCTTAATCTGGTAAATGGATTGGTTGTGCCATCAATTTGTATTTTAATTCACTGATTTCACCTACGGTTCTTTTAACTGTACGATCAAAAATGATTTATTTGTTTTGTAAGCTGTCTTTCGTAAATTTTTGATTTTCAATGATTGCAGTAATAATCTGAGTTTATTGTTTTATCAACTTCAAGTGATCACCTAACAGAATTTATAATGCATTTCAAAAAATCGACGCTTGGTCAATCAATGATCATCCAAACTATTAATATATATTTTTGGTGTGCGGCAAGTTTTTAGATGTCTTTCTCATTGATCGTAATCTTGGTTGTACTTCAACTTTTAAACAAACTAATCGATGTACGAATTATTAATTTATATCAGCGTTATATGTTTTAAGATAATATAAATAAAATATAAAAAATTAGAAATGTCACATTCAATGTAAATAAAATGTAAAATGTACTCTAAATTTAAGATTTCAAAAATATTAAATAGAAAAAGAGGTTTCAATTTCAAATCCAAAATCGGGGGACCATAATCCCGTGGTTCACAATATCCATAATCAGTGGTCTTTGGCACCATCTATCAGTTTAATTGTCCTTATGTCATTTTTGGAATGCAAGTGTCAGGAACCGCAATCTGTCAAATTTGAACTGTGAACCTCTGTATTAACACACAAAGTCAATGTACACTTGATTTGCGATATTCAAATCTGAATATATATAAAGTATTAAAAATAAGAATAAACGCATAAACCACAGCTATACTATATACATTCATTTAAGTTCTTCTTTTTTTTACTTTACTATTATTTTCTGTAGAAAATGTACATCGAGATGGATTTCTTTAAAAAAAAAAATTTTGAGCTAAAGCTTTTCTTGCTATTGCTTTTTATTAAATTATATACTAATTTATTGCGAAGTGACTTTTTAGAAATTAATAAATAATTTTTAACTAAAAATGTTGAAGGATTTATTATTAAATTTTTTTTCCTTCTACCTTTAACTTTTAAAGTAACGCCTATGCAATTTGCATACAAAGTCTACAATTTAATAAAATATATTTCGAAATTAAATTAAAGTATTTTTAAAAGTAGAAAAAGAACTGATATGTTTACCTAGATTTCGTACTTATTATGGTGTAGTATAAATCTTTAAAACTGTTAGTTGATTAAAATATTTTCTGTTTTGATAAATAAATTTGAGTCTTCATGCTATATAAAAAGTAATAAAACAAATCTTGAATGCTTTTACAGAAAGATTAGATTTGTGTTAATTAATTTCTGTGTTAAATTGTATTATAAAAAACTATAATAATTATGTACTTATCTTTAGAAATGTGTATAAACGTCTAAAGTATTGTATGTTTATTAAATTTACTTAACATTTTATATCACTAAAGCTTTTATGATCGACTTATTGACAACAAATCAGTTATAACAAATTCCAATCTAATATTTAGTTACGAAAAAAGTAGCACTCCTTAATCAGAAACCAAACCAATTTAACACCCACTTGGATACAAGTGGGAGAATACTTTATTTTTCCAATGAAAATAATCTACAAATAAATAGAAAATAAATGACACAAATGTGCCACGAAAATGGAATAGAAGTCATTGATAGCGCCATTTCGCCTAAAGGCTGTGATAAAATATTGTGACGATGAAGACCGCGTTATTGCTTATGGAATCATTTGCACTACATAAGACTGACTTGGCCTTACACATAATCGAACAGAATATGTTGACAAATTACTTTAATCGGAACGAAAATCTTGGAAGAAACGGAAATCCTGGGAATAGGCGAGAGGCTAACAAACTCCATTGGCAACAGTTTTGATTGAAGCAACAAATGCGACACTTGTGAACCAACACAACCCCTGGAATACTGAAGGATTCTAATGAAGGATGATAAATAAATCTGTTAGGTTTTCTTTAAATGTGATTTACTTTCATCTGCTTTTATTTACGTAAATCAATGCAATACATAATCTGTCATTGAGGAGGATTGTTAGTTACATAAAGAAACTTAGTTTTTGTTATCCAAATTACAAGCTGCGAAGTAAATAATATTCTTCCAAAATAAATATAAACATTTGTTAAGCAAATTTTATTTAATCTAAACATATTTAGAAAAATGTTTAATTCTTAAAAATTAAATTTTCGACTTCTTAAATAGATTTTTTCAAAATAGTTTTTGTATTAACAAACACATTTCTTAGCACTTATTTGAGTCATTACAAATTCTAGCTTACGCATTCAGTATTGTCCCATACGCCAGGAGAAATACCAAAAATACATAGAAATACATATAAATTTATATAATATTTATTTATAATATAAATACTAATATAATAATAAAAAAATTATTACTTAACTATTTTTTCTTTCTTATCCCTTTCTCTCTTATTACCTCCCTTACGACTATATAAATCAGTGCAGTCCAGACCAGATACGATTGCAAAAATATATTATATTTGCTCATAAAAACAAAAAATATTTTAAAGGTTGTTATATATGAGAATTTATAAAGAATATTTTTTCTTTTCTAACTATCGTCTTAAAGCTTAGTGTATTAAAGCTACTGAAGAAACAAATAATGATTCAAAATTTTGTAATTCTTCATGAATTCTTCATAAATTGCCAGAACAACTACCAGTACTAATAGAAACTTGAAAACGAATTTATTAGTACTATTTTTAATAGACAATAAAAATCTCAAAGATAGGTTTAAAATATTAGAAAGGTTTTTATTTTAAAAGATAATTTTGTTTTTAATAAAGTTCATCACTAATTATATTTATAGATATTTTACACATTTTTGAATTTATATATTTTTATATATATTATTTATATATATAATTCCTTTATTGATATGTGTGGTGTTAAAAAAATTAGTTGTGTAAGTATTTATTCGGAAATTAAGATATTTTTAAAAATATCTAGACAACAATAGTTGATAAAGTAATTTTTTAAGTGCAAACATGTATAATATTTATTTACAGATTTTTTTTTAAATTTATATTAAAATAATTAAATGAACGACTAAATAATAACAAGCATCGTGATTATATATTCTTCTTTGGAAATTTAAATAAAAAGTGCAGTAATAAAGCGTAGAGTATAAACAAGAATTTATACTCTACTCCTCAAATAAGTATCATATACTTTTTGTTCCTATTATTTTAAATCAACTTCAATCTCTCTTATTTTGGGTGAAGAAATGGTTGTCAAAATAAAGAATCAAAATTAATTAACTAAAATGTGGACACGTAATTTTACCTTAAATCGGAGTGTATCTTCAACAATTTTACCAAATAACATTCCCATACCAAAAGCAGATAATATAACGTACTTAAGTATTCACCTAGACACGTTACTAACTTGGCCATAAAAAATATAAATGAAACTCCAAGCCTCTAAGTTGCATAGACACATTAATAACAGATCCTGCATATATCTAGAGTATAAAGTACTTTTGTATAATAGCATCATAAAATCAGTATGAACTTATGATATCCAGCTATTTGGTTCTGCTAGTACTACAAATATTTAAATTATATTAAAAACTAGTCAAAAATGCTGAGAAAAATCACTGGTTTTCCATGGTATATTTAGGATGAAAGCATCAACCGATATCTACAAATTCCCTTAATTAAAGCTGAATTTGTCAATATAAGAAAAAAATACAATAATAATGTAATAGAGTCACTTACCAAGGAATCTCGTACTTCTATCCACTAATTCACGTCAAAAAAGAGCTGACCGTTCAGCCATTAATTGAAATTCAATAGGTACAAGTAAAAAGCTCAATCTTTTCTTAGCGATATGATAAAGCTCAATTCACTTGAATTTATTTTAACCCATTAATTTAACTGAGGTCCTTCTTCTACAGTGTCCTGCTTTCGCAAGATATAGACTCTCCTACTTAAGGACACACTTTTTCAATTCACTAAGAGAGCTAGATTCTATTTCCATAGAATCTCGGATCAATGGCTTTGTGGCCAGTACCAGCTGGTTATAGGGACAGGTGTCAAATTCTTTAGTGTATCACTAAAGCTTATGGTCTAAGTGAGTCTTCGGACGGCTCCAGTAACCTAACCTAACCTAACCTGATGTCCATAATATAAGGTTTATATATATGTATGTGTGAGGTAAAAATTGTAATATTATGTAAATAATGATGATTTTTAAACTTATTATTAGTTTCATTGTAAGAGATGATGCAATAAATTAATATATACGTATTTAACAAAAAAAATTATTTATTACGTACATAGTGAAGTCTATGTATATCTATCTTAAATAAATTGTATTATGTACCTCATAACTCACAGCACTGATCTATTTATTCAAGGATTTAAAAGGTTTGTTTGGCAGACAAATAACATATTAAATAATATTCGCTGATATTTTAAAAATATTTTTATTATTCTTGTACCACAGCCTGATTTACATAAATGGCAATTTTGTTAATTGAAAACCTAAATAGACCTTTTATGCAAATAATATTCAATATTGACGACAAGTAACCCAAAAACCTTTTTACCAAAATAACCTAAAAGCAATGGGAAATACCGAGTGGTAGAAATCTTATATTTTTTCTCCTAAAATAAATAAATTTTCATAATATTTAGTAAGTTGAAGAATTTTTATATTATGAGTAGGTGTGTTACTATAAATTTAATTTGAAGAATATAGTGAGGTAACGTTTATATATACTCATAAATCCTCTTGCTGCAATTACTCTTCACTTTTTAACTGTTCTCGATGTATTTTTTATAATAAATTTCCAGTATAAAAATGAATGAAACTAGTAAATAACTGGTGAGTAAAAGAAAAAATAGTGGCGCGGTATATTCCAGACCTACGTCGATTACAAAATTAGTTGCAAAGCAGTTCAATCTGTGACGCATGAAATATCTACGCAACTTCAAGTAAACGCCAGTCTCCAACAAACGAATTTCTCTGCAAGAAAGAATATATTCATTTTTATATTCGAACTTATCTTATTCGTAAAAAATCCCACTTACGTTAATCTTATCAATTCTTTGTAGGTTGAGTTTTTATGTGTATGTGAATATAAATATTTCTCTGGTCTAAACAGAACTTCATTGGTGTCACAAATTTCATGTGGCTTAAAAAATTTTTCAACCAGCTCATAACCAGTAGCAGCTGTAAAAACATATACGAAACCCGGATTATCGCGCATTAATTTTACACCTTCTTCAACAGACAGCCAAAGTTTTGGATTATTCTTTTGAGGTTCAACTTTACGTGCCACAAAGCGCCGAACATCGGGCAGTTTTGAGGTCTTAAAAATACATTTAAAATTTATTAAATTAATAATACTAATACAACTACAATTGATATAAAGAAATTAGTTCTTTACACTTACATACAAATAAGAAGCAGTGTACGGTAAAGGTTCCATGGCAACTTCTAAATTACTATCAGCTAATTGTCCCATCGTTTTAATATGTGATTTAATCGGTGAACCCAGTAAAGTAGATACGATTATAGAAGTGTAATAATTGTACATAAAAAATGAAATTAGCGATAAAGAAAAAAATGCCATTCTTCCACCTGTTGAACGTGGTAGTAAGAAACTCCCTTGCGAACAAGCGGAACCAAATGAGATCAAACACGCAGTTAGCAAACAAGGTACATAATTTAAACATTTTTTTAAGCGATGATTTTCCAAGTAGAAAATAGCCCATAGAAATATACCACTTATGAACAAAATAATACCGAAGACACACCAAACAGTCATACTGAATGGTGCAAGAAACACATCGCCTTGTATGCCAGCATTACGAGGTGTACGAAACATGCAAATCATATGAAAGTCCGCTGCTTCAGTAATAGCAGTAAGGTTTTCGAAACGAGCCGCTGTCGGAAGAAATGGAGTTGAAGTCAATTCAACTCGTTCGGTACCAAGATCTCCAACTGAAC